TGCATGAGCCGCCCACGCCGCGCCGCCGCGCCCGCGCCGCCGCGCCTCGCCGCACGCTGGCATCCGTTGGGAAGTCGCGTGTTGTGGGGAACGGGGGCGCGCCTTCGAAAGGGGGGTGTGTTGACAGAGCTACCCCTTACATGCTGCAGCGGCTGGTGTTTCCCGCTCTTTGTGTTTGAAATGGCCGCTGCCCTGTGTTGACCTGCGTGCTGATGTTGCAAAGCTTTTCACACCAAGCTGACCAACATATCATTATTGGGCAGGGTTCCCACAGATTCCCAAGGTGCAAGTTTCACTATTTACTGTACTACAGATTGTCCGAAACAAGCTGCCATGTACAATTTCTTCCTGCAAACCACCACCAAATTCCTTGCATGGCTGCCCTCCACCTTGGCACTGTAATGGAATGAGATGTTTGGCCAAGAGGAAGACAATGATTGCCAGAAAGACCCCACAGCCGAAGTTGCAACAGCGCAGCCCGCAACACAAGTGCAATCTGTGTAACGGAATTATATCCCCCACCCACCAAAGGCCCTCAAAGTCCAAGTCCAAGCAAGTGGCAGGGCCAGTGCTCAACAATGTTGTCTTTATGTGCGCAAAAAGTGTGCAGTACCAAAATGTTGTGTGCGTAGTGAAGTTGCACAGAAGCATCAGCGAGCCTGCTGCAAGTATGTGGGGCTGGAGTTTCAGGCCATGCGCAGCAATGTGTTGGTCCGCATACAGGCCAGATGGGAGGAGCAAGAGGCTGATGAGGAAGCGCCACCGGTTGGATGACATAGCAGGACGCCGCATCCGCATGCGATTGGACCCCCAAGCAGTGAAACTCAAACGGTGAGCGCGATGACCTTGGTTCCGGCCGTTCCAAGTGCAAAGTTTGTGTAACCCGTGCCGCTGTAGAGCACGCCGTCCACGATGGACGGCCCGCACGCGCTGCTCGCACCAAGATCATAGCTTCCCAGCAGCTTCCCATCAGTTGCACGCAACATGAACAGCCGCCCGGTGGGGTCCATGCTCGCATACGTCAAAACCCCGTTCGCCACAGTGATGGCTGCAAGGCTCTTGGCGTTGCGGCCGGCCTGGTCCAGCATCGGGTTGGCGAAGGTCCAGCGCACTGTGCCGTCCCACGCATCCAGCGCGACGCACAGGCCGCCGTTGGTGGAAGCCGGGGCGACCTTTTCGCCCTTGACGTTCGGGACGGGCTTCAGGTACGCGTCGGCGCCCTGGAAGTCGACCTTTGTGTTGTACATGTTGTTGTTGCTGACGTACACCAGCTTGTTGTCGCTGGCGCTGCCCCACCTGCCGCAGGTTGCGCGGGGCGCGCGCGATGTTAAGCCCAGGATCCAGAGTTGAGATGATGTACGCGAGCATACCTAGGTGTGTGCCGGCTGTCATCAGCACGATAATCGGTTGTGCTGGCGGCGGCATGCGCGAGTGCATATACATGATAACGGGTCAAGCAGGGCTTGCTGAGTGTGCTTTGTTGCGCCTCTCACATGAGCCCTCCGATGAGCCCTCCCGGGCCAGCGCGTTGGTTCCAGGCAATGCTGCCGTCGTTGGGGTCCAGCGCCCAAACAATGCCGGACTGCGGACATGGTAGTGAGGCAGAAAATGGCAGTTGGGGGTCTGGGGGCCCAAGAAAGACGAGGGTGCAGGGATGAAATGCAAGGGGAGGGGGGATGCATGATGTGCACAAACATACAGACAGACAGACAACAAGCAGGCAAGTTGCATCGTGTCATGGGGATGACATGCTCACCTTCTGGCCAACGATGAGCAGCTGCTTGCAGCCCTTGCCGGGCTTGCAGGGCGTGACCAGCATGGGGGCTTGGCCGAACTGCGGGTGTTGGTGCATGCGTGTGTATGTGCTTACAGACATGCAAGGTCGGGCTGTGCGCGCAGAGCGTTCATAGGCGCATGTCTGCAAGCGGTCATGACTCAGCTGAGCGTGTGTCTGCAAAACAGAAACACGTACAGTGGCGACAAACCCCCCAAGGCGTGTGAGGGCTGGTGTGTTCCCAACCTTCCACTCACGGCGAAATCGGGGCCCTCGACTGCAGGGCAATTGTCGCGAACAGCTGGGTTGCTGGAAAGGCATGCGGCGTTCCAAGCGTCGGGTCCATCAACAGGTGTGGCCCACTTGATAGCGCCAGTCTTCATGTCCAAGGCCAGGATCTGCGATCAAGTAATGCATGGTTGCATGATTTTGGGACCCGGGAGAACTGCAGTTGAAATGCAAGATCGCATTTGAGTATAGTTGCGGTTGAGTTGTTGGGTTGAGGGTTGTAGCTAGAGGCGCCAGCAGCCTCACTTGGGGCAGAGCAGTAGCACGTGAGCTCGGTTGCGGCACTGGCTTGTGTTCTTCACAGGGCATCATTTTCATGTGGGAAATCGGATGCACCTTTGTTGCTACGGGCGCAAAGGGCTGGGCCAGCAGGACCATAAGATAGGGCGCACCGAGTTGTGGTGGTTCTCGTTCCCGCGCGACAGCTGCATGCAGACCTTCTGCTGCGGGCTGTTGGCGACTGTCAGGGGTCCCAGCGCCAGCAGACACGCCTCCACGTCAAGCGGCATCCTGTGAGATTTCGCCCGGCAAAGGGAGGCTGATGATTAGCGGGGCCCGAGGCAGAAAGGTATACAACGGCGCCATGCCAACCGCGGCAACTCTCACATTTTGTGATCCAAATGACGGTGCAAGCAGTGTGCATGTAGGCTGCTAGCCAGGCTTGCTGGGTCGACCACGCAGAGCCTAGCATTCACCCGGCAGGGGCCCCCCCAGGGGCGCATGGCGGCCGTGGGCGCACCTGTAATTGTTCGCAGTGGCGACAATGATCTGCCCGCGCTGGCGGTCCACCACAGGTGAGCTGCCCTGAGCGGCAGCAGCGTGGTAGGGGTGGATGCGACGCCAGCAGCAACAAGACAATTGTGAGCGTGCGATAACAGACAAATTCAGGACCGACAGCAAGAGCCAAAAACTCGTGTCACCTTGGAGGTGTCTATGCTTTGCCTGCTTTGAAGACATGTGCAACAAGCGTGCCGGCTGCGCAGGTCATGTGTTTGTCAACCAGAATCTTCTTGTACAAGCACGATGCGGGGCCTCTCATGCATGATTGGGGGCGACGCACAACTGGCTCAGTGCTAAACAGGCCATTGCAATCACTCCTACCCATATAGAGGCGCCCGCCCAGCTGTCATTGGCGCCCCTGCCGATGTCGGGTGCGGTGAAGGTCTGCCAGAGGAGGTCGCCGGTCCGCGCATCCACTGCCGCCGCGCTGCCTCGGAACGAGCAGCATACGTGGGCTTGACCTGCAAACGGCGGGCCGGCACACACACGCAAGAACGATGCAGGGGAGAAGGTGTGGCGCGAACAAGAAGCCGCAGCAGAGCAAACAAGGGCGGGGTTGCCGATAATCGCCCGTGCATCAGGGCCAGACATCATCATGGGCATGCAGCCCCAGGCGTGCAGCATGCAAGCTCTGAAGGATGGTGGGCCCCGCAGGTACTGCGCCCTGGCGGGGCCACCTTGCGCCCCCACAATGCCCAAGCAAAGCCGCGGCCCCATCGCTGCAGCTTTGGCGCCCCGCCCAGCCGTCAAGGCTCACGTGATGCGACGTTCTCCTCGAGGCTGCTGATTCCTGTGTAGATGACGCCCTCGTACAGGGTGGGGCTTTGCGTGATGGTTGCTGCAATGTTGGTGTCAGCTTGCTTGCCCCACACCTGATTTGGGTGACCGTATGGGTGGGATAGGCAAGGCGGAGGTGGGACAAGACAGTACCGCTTCTGGGCGTCACTGCTGCGCCACTTAGGTGGCTCAATTCTGGTCAGGTGTGTTTTATGCACCCACGGGCATGTCTGTGAGTGCCGACATGGGCTTTCTGGCTTGGCGGGGCTCGCGCCCAACACCCAACCAAGATGTGTCGGACAACACACCCCGGGTTACGCCGCGCCTAGACTTGCTTGCGCATGCCACTCACCAAGGCGCCGTCCGAGGCGCGGAGCGCGAGCCAGAAGGCGTACCCCCCATAGACTGCCTGCATGGTGCCGAGGATCACCAGCTCGTTGTTGTAGATGACAGGGCTGTTCCTTGATATGAGTGGGAACACACCCAAGTTGGCTGCAGGGAAGGACAATAGGGGTGGGTTGGGTGTCAAGGCGCGGAGGCAGGCGCATGATTGGTATGTGATGGTGATGGGGAGCCGAGATGGACGCTGACCACTGCTTGCACTCGCTGCGAGGGGCTTCAGGGGGCAGATGAAAGGTGGGTGGCCAGTTTTGGCAGGGTTTGCAGCCGTGCACGTGCTTGGCGGGAGGAGGTGTCGTGCAATGCGGCTGATGCCACTGTCCACGACACGAGGGCAGCTACTCGCGTTAGCTCCCAAGCTTAAACATTGAAGCTCTTTGGTATTGACAGAGTTGCTGGGGCGTGGGTGAGGTGGGGGTTGGGTGGCGGATGGGTGGGAAGGGTGGCAGCATTGCCCCTTGCCAGCCAGCCATCTTGTCTTCTATTCACATGACCACAACATCTTGCAGCCTGTCCCCCCTGTTACAATCAATGGTGACACTTGCTCACCCGGCAGTGGAACGCCAAGCTGGCTAATATAATCTTTGACTTGCTTTGACCACACAACCTCCCCTGTCGCAGCCTTCAGGCAGAAGACGTTGCCTGAGAGGGAAGATGTGGTTGTGAATGGTGCCGATTGCTTGGCAATCCAGAGCTATACCTGCTAAGCAACTGGCCGCTTGCCTGCAAACGGCGGTGGTGCGCCAAGTGTGCAGCATGCGCCTTGACTATGCAATTGACCCCCAGCAGCAGATCAGGTGCGCACATCCCACATCCCGCATCCGGCACCGACTCCTTGCTGTACCCAGTAATTACATTGTGCATCCCGCCCCCGCACCCTCCCAATCCGGCACGTAGAGGAAGCCGTTGTGAATGGTGGGCGTAGCGCTGGTGCTGCCCGCAACGTCCGCCTCCCACTTGACCTTGAGCTTCCCGGCCTTTGCCACCGTCAGCTTTTTCTCAACTTGGCTCCAGCGGCGGTTGCTGAGGTCACCGCCCCAGTGGCTCCAGGCCAGGCGGTCTGCAGCGCGTACGTCGGAGCGGGTGTCAGAGACGGGTTGGTCGTTGGTTGGCGGTCCCACAGACGAGCGTGGCGGAGGCTTTTTGGCGGCAACATGTGCATGGCGTCAGGCAGTCGCTGTTTGCCCAAGGACAGCGCTCAGAAGTTGATGGGCGGCGTCATGAGCATCAAGCAACATCAAGCCCATCTGCCACTCTACAGACGGGCAGCCAGCTCACCGATGCACTCGCTCTGGTCAGGGTTGGCAGTGAATGGGGCCAGGCACTTGGTGCAGGCGGTTGTCTTTGAGCCGCCCGGGCTTGCGTGGTTCTTGGGGCAGCGGGTGCAGCTCGTTTTCTTCATGTAGTGGCCGGGCATGCAATCTTGAGGTGAGGTGTCGGGGCATGGAGGCACGGGTTTTTTCAACCGCATCAAGGCAGTCAGCCAAGGCACAGCAGCAATGCGACCAAGGGCACCAACGAAGCCTGGATCTGCCTGCGTCCCTGCTACATACAGCAATTGCAAGAAATGCGAGTGGGGTCATGTGTAAGGTCGTTGCTGCACCCTCAAGACTGCTCACCGCAAGTGCCTGTTGAGTTTGTCAGATAGGCCTTAGATTTGCAGACACTGCACCTGCTGGGGTCACCGACAACGCACTTTTGGCACCCGGCCACTTGGCACTTGGGGGCCTGAAAATGCGGGAACGAAGGGTGTGCACGGGCGTACATTTATGATATTCTTTCTGCAAGCAATGGGCTGTGATTTACGCCCCCCAAAGCTCTGCAGAGTCCATTGCAGTGAATTCACGCCTGGCACCCTTCCTCACCAGCAAGCCCCTGCCAGGGGGCGTAGAGGCAGCCAGGACGCCCAACGGCTGTGCCACCTGGATGGCTTCAGCCGAGACTGCGCCCAATATGGCAATTATGGCAACAATTATCATTGTGGGAAGATCTCGTGGCGGCCCGCACGAATACCGACAGAGCGTTGAATGGGAAAATGCGATGACGGTGCACAAACCGCGCGGAGATCAAGGACACGAGATTGTAAATCAAGTATGTTTCAGCCTATAGGACCTCTTGTGGCGGCCCGGGTGACACCAGCGTGACCGGCACACGCCCTGGGCACACGTCGAGACGTCGGCACACGCCCTGCGCACACCCTGCAGGCACACCCTGCAAGATCGCTATTGATGTGAAAATGCGTTGTATTATATGATGATCTCAGATCATCCCGGCACACATCTCGACGGCTTTACCTGCGCCACCCCAACAGCCGCCGCCCGTGTGGCGCCACAAGGATTGATACATGATTGGCTGTGGCCCAGGGATTTGTGGGGGCTTGACGGCTGCTCGCATCTCAGTCGACTGCACCAAAGGTAGTATTGCAGGGTGGTACATCACAAGTCTGATTAGCGATTACGTCCAGAATTGTGTTGATGGGGCTTGCAGGCAACGGCTACTTCTGACAAACAGTCCCACCCTTGCAAGTGCCCCTATACCCCACTGAGGCTAAAATTCGCACTTGAGGAGCACTGCGGGCGCTGTGACCTTTGAGCAGGCCGCTGCTGTGCTGCCAACACGCCAGCAGATTAATGAGTGGAGAGGCGACATGGGGAGGCGGCAGCGGAAGTGGTGCTGTTGCAAAACTCGGGATTCCAACAGCTTTGTGTTCAGCGGCCCTTATCAAGGGCTTGATCCATGTTGGCAGGCTCTGACAATTGATGGATGTGATGGTGAGATCCGCCGTCAAGCGCAAACGTTGCTGTGTAACCAACCAGGCCAAGGAACCCGTCCAGCTTCCATTGTCTGTGTACGCTTGTACATACCCCATAGAAACTTGATGGTATGCGCATGCCACGTGAAATATGTGAATGCGGGACTGCCCATCCGCGTGGAGCCTCCTCTCAGACCCGCACCCCCCCCCCCCCC